GGACCAACCAGTGGCGGTGCCCTTCAACCACACGCAATCTTTCTCAAAATGTGACTAAAAGAAAGCAATTAACAGCTGTAACCCACAAAACAAAAACACGTTTTGCTGCTATGGGTGATATGGGTACGGATTTCAGGCACTAAGTCATACATGATAAATACATGATTGACATATAACAACAAAATATGTTGAGCTGGCTAGCAGCACCCCGTCTGTCCTTAAAATCTGTTATATTTATTGTGTATTTCGGCCAGTCACTCGACTTGATTTTCTTATATGCATGTCTCTTCTTTAGACGGTCAGTATGTCTATTTGGATGTGTGTCCTTTGACTTATTTTGGGCACAAAGACATTGCTAAAGTATTAAAAAATGCCAAATGCCAACGAAAGCACCCATCCTTCCTTTTTCTTTCTATCTCTTTTTTCACTCTTGTTCTATGCTTCCCAAGTAGGTAACACACGAACCCCTCATGAATAGGTACACTTCAAAACCCCATTTAACCCTGAAGCTCGTTACAACAACTCTACAAAAATAACAGCACTTGCAACACAATTAGTTCACAAAAGTGCCGAAGATTAGAAGTGTTACACGAGAGTAACAAACACAAAAAAGAAGGAGGGATAAAGACGACAGATTTTTGATAGGAAAGAAGTAGCAAACCACACCCCAGCTCCCGACAACCGCCCACTACAAAAATTCTGATTAAAAAAAAGGAGACGAACTAACAAGATAGATACAGGCAACCCTATTCTAGCGGCCAACTGACCAAGACAATCACCTGCACAAACGATCACATTTCACCCCCCTCCCTCTCTTGTTTTTACAACCTCAAAATGACAATCACTTTTCTCCTCTACAATGAGAAGCCGTCTGATCTTGGACAATTTCATCCATTCGAACATTTAATTTTATTCTTCCGGAACCTAGATTCTTAATCTTGCTTTATGGCTTTTAAAATTAAGCTTATGGCTTGAGTTGTGCTTTACAGCTTGATTTTTGACTTGTGATACAAACTGGTGATCTGGTAAGTGTTGTAATCTTAAAATCAGAATAAAGCAATGCGTGTCGGTTCCACTAGCAATGTGCCATCTTAAAAAGAGTTCCCAGTGCATTAACACTTCCAATACGCAAGGTATTTCACAAACTGACGCATCCACTTCGAGGAGGCGAAGGTTGTAACCTTAAAGCGGTTATAATTCAGCCAAATATTGTTGGATTTGTTTGTGCAGGCGCTCAATAAACTATTCGTGTTTGGATAAAGAATCACGGGATAGGTGAAGATAGGTAGCAAATGTTGCACTGGGGCAGGTGTAGATCTTGGGGTTGAAAATCGGTGCCCTTCAAGCCAAAACGAAATTGAAGTGGAGATCTGCAGCAACAGGAAACAAAGAAACAAAAACAACAGCAATAACCTAAAAAAAACAAAAAAACAAAAAACAAAAAAAACCCAACTAGCAAACCCAACTCAACAACAACAAACAAACAAAACCGCCAATCGAGTGGTGATCCGAAATCAAAGAGTTAATGGGTCTTAAATCCAAAAGCTATTAATGCATTCTACGTTCATAGAAAAATGAAACGTGACTGCTAGTACAATACCTGGCATCACTTAAGACATTTAGATGGACAAAAATTGGCATTTGTTATAACATTTGTTTGTGTGACCGAGGAGAATTCGGAGGGGGGGGGGGGTTGTTTGCTGTGTAAGTGTTGGTGGATGTTAAACTTGGCCAACAGGTTGACATTCTAGGTTCGAATGTGAGCACTGTAGAATTTTTTTTCCTTGGATGTTGAATAGCTTGTCTTTTATCAGTATAAGGATGATACAGCTTTAACTTCAGATTCAAGAAAAGTGACCCCAAAGAGAGAGAGAGAGAGAGAGAGAGAGAGAGAGAGAGAGAGAGAGAGAGAGAGGGGG